AATATCTGATGTGTTTGGTGTCACAAGAAATACATAGCACATTGTCCTCTCAGTCACTGTTGATTTATAAATAGTTTAAATATCAACTTACTGCTTTAGGGATCTCAAAAGGGAGAGGTGACACTGTTCTAATCACTTCAAAATTCCTTGTTGATGTCCAAAGGCTTGAAACAGAGCATGGTACATAATTTTATCTTAGATAAAAGTGACAGCTAGAGAGATGACTCAGCAGTTAAGAGCACTGACTGCTCTTGCAGAGGACCCGAGTTCGATTCCCAGCACCCACATGGCGGCTACGAACCGTCCAGTTCCAGAGGAATCCAAAGCCCTCTTCTGACCTCCACGGCATTACATGGCACAGGTGCGCTCACATACATGCAGGCAATACACTCATACATATAAAATAAAGATAATAAATAAAATATATTTTAAAATATTTTTTAAAAAAGAGTTGTACACTGTATTTTGTGGTGTGTATAGAAGAATATGAGGTTATATGTAACATTTTCTAAACATTAACTATGGGTGTCAAAAGAGGAGACTGGTTATCATATTTATGTTTTGTTCCTTCTATGGCATATTCCTTAATTTTGAGAATCCACTGATAGAAATGAAAATTACAAAATGATTGAGAAAATAGTGTAACAATGAGGTCAGTCTTAGTAGTTTCTCTGAATTGTTTTTCCTAAAATGTATTTGTCAGCTGTTAAAGGAAAAGACAGAGGTTCCTTAAAAGAGTTATCAGTTTAGGGGATAAAAGAATAGCTTTACCCAATGCAGCAAGATTGGTTAAGGAAAATGGGGTGTAAGGGCAGTGACTTGTGAGGTTAGAATTAGGACCTGCCCCAACTTGCTCTGACTTCATACTAATAACTACCCAGGTTTCTATTTGACTGGACTTTAGTCATTCCTAGGAGACTAACAGATGACATTAATGTTTTATTTTCTATGTGTGTATCACCCAGTGATACCTAGAAGTCATTTATTTCAGCAGGTGTTTCTTATGGACAAAGCAATGGTGACATCGAAGCCCTGCATCAGGCTTATTGTCATGTAGCTCATTCTCTGGGAGATACCGAGGAAACGAGAATTGAGACTAACACAGAAAATAGCAAGTGCTCAGTACAAGATCATATTCAAGAAAATGAAGAGTCTTCAAAAAACATCTCTACCACTGAATCTGGTAAAGGTTGACGGTTTCATCAAATGGGTGGCTGGGGGATAGATAGAATTTTTCAACTATTTGATGCCTTCTTTAAATACTGTCCTTTGTAGTATATTTTATATACAGTTTGCTGTGGTAATAGCTTCCTCATAACTTAAAAGACTTGTTCAAATGAAACCCAGGAATCTTTGGACTAATAGTAAAATAAGAGCTGAATGAATGCAGAATAAAATTACAGTTTTTCTTCTGATATGCTTTGACCAAATTAATTAAGCACCAAACTTGACATAATGTACTTTGTATATTAATTGTTTTAATAGAAAATATTTTGAGATCAACAACATATATAGCAAATGTGTGTGAGATGTGGGTATAGATGTTTGAGATATATTTGATAAGGTTAAAGAAAAGGTTCCTGGTGTAAGTTTGTGATACAGATTTCATTTATTTGCACATGTCATTTTGTTAACTATATCAATTTGAGAAAAATGTGATTTACCTGGCATGTGTAAATTAAGCAATTTAGGTCGCATGTTTGGTTTCTAATTTAATTTTTTTCCCCACATAGATCTGCCTACAGTAGAGGAGCTGATGAATCCTATCAGAATAGATTCCTGTGGGGTCAGGGCCTTTGAGTTACTACCTATCAGGTAGGTTTGGGGAATGTTTTGTGCAGGTTATTAGCTGAGTTTTGCTTGCTAGCTTCTTATTTTGTCCTATTTTATGTGTATAAATGTATTGCCTGCATGT